GTTCCTGCCTGACCTTAACCTCCTTGAGGCAAATGCAATGTGCATACAATCTTTTAAAACAGTGTTCCCCAACCTTTCCAGATTTGCGGACCTGCGGTGGGGGGGAGGAGATAGTTCTGCATGAACGATGGGCAGCTCTATTTAACAGTAACAGAGTTGGAAGGAACCTTGGAGGTCATCTAGTCCAATCCCCCTGCTCACGCAGGAGACCTGTACTATGGATTCGAACCGCCGAATTGCCGACCTTTCTGATCAACAAACTCAGTGTCTTAGCCACTGAGCCACCTAGTCAGGCAAGTGGAACTGCATACACACACGTTTGCCTGTGCTTCCGCGGCCCAATACTGGGCCGCAGCCTGTGTAAAATGATAATGACAGATTATAATGATCATGATAAAATAATAGTATCTGACATGTAAACGTTAATCAAGATTTTACTTGGGTACTATATATTTATATCATTCGAAATGCTATCATGTGTGGAACTCACAATTTTTATTTGCAAAGCAGAACATTTTTAAAAAGGGCTCCTAACTACAAAAAGTCTAGAATGGAAATTCGCATGTGTCTTTCTTATTCAAAACTTATTTAGAAGAAGTAGAAGAGTAGAATAAGTTGATGAAATAAATGAAAAAGAGCAATAAATATTGTTTTCTTTGTGACTCACATGTACAGAAAAGCCTTGATCTCTTTTTACTCACAAATGACATATTTAGAAATATTTTAGAGAAAGGTACATAAGACATAGTAATCACTCATCAAAAAGTTCAAGTTACAGAACAATTCATTGCTAGTCATTTGTTCAAGATCCAGAACAATTCATTGCTAGTCATATAAACAAATAAAAAAAATCTGAAACGGTATTAATCTTATAGTTGAAAGTTGCAATCCTATGCAAACCTGCTGGGAATAAATTGCACTTCTCAGTTAAATTCACTAGAGTTTATTTTTATATGTATACAATGGGACTATGAGGAACATATGAATATGCAATTAACTCTTCTGCTATAAGAAGAAGTATGAAAGGAGAAAATAGAACAGCATGAATTAAATTCAGCTAATTCAACATTGGATTTAACTCTATAAATACAAGCCATAAGCTGTTTTTCCTGAAGGCAAAATAAATTAGGCCAATTTTAGACTAAATGGCCTGCGTTTGGAAGAAATGAGCCTATCAAGTATATAATAGATAGTGCTTAATGGTTGACAAAATGCCAATTTTAAATTGATCTGTACACAGAGTGTAGAATATGCAGAGTTAAACCTATTTAAGATACATATACTATAAATACTATCACAATCAGTGAAAACAACAGAAGGGGCAGTATTATACTTCCTTGTTAAAAAACATGGGTACCTTCAAAGCTTATCCTGAAGATTTAAGATGTTTTTCTCAATTTCTCTGTCCTCCCTCCCCCGCCCCCTCTGTTTTCTTCTTGCTATATATTCATTCACATTTGTTTCTCTATGTACAGTACATCTCCACATTCTTACCCATACCAACTCCCATTTTCGTCTGTGGAGTTGTTTGTTTTGTCTACTTAATTTAGGGGCAAGGTCCAATTACATTTAGAAGAATATGATCCTTTATTGATAAGGATGACACATGAGAAGTTTCCAAAACTTCCAAATGTTGAATAACACACACACACACACACACACACACACACACACACAAGGAAGCACAGCACTGAGCTAAAGTACAACATTTAGTAGAAAATAACTACAAGTAGTCCACAACTTATGACCACAACTGAGCCCAAAATTTATGTTGCGAAGCTAGACATCTGTTAAGTGAGTTTTGCCCCATTTTACGACCTTTCTTGCCACAGCTGTTAAGTGAATCACAACAGTTGTTAAATTAGTTATCTGTTTGTTAAGTTAATCTGGTTTACCTGTTGACTTTACTTGTCAGAAGGTTGCAAAAGATGATCACATGATCCCAGGCAGGGGTGGGTTCTAATTTTTTTTACTACTGGTTCTGTGGGCGTGGCTTATTTTGTGGGTGTGGCTTGATGGTCATGTGACAATTATTTAGGATTTAGCAGAGGTACTGGTCTACCAGGCTTTTAACTGTTTGCAGAGCTGTATCGATCTACCCATTTATTTTTTGCAGGCACTGGTCTACCCATTTATTTTTGCAGGCACTGATCTACTCATGTATTTTTGCAGGCACTGGTCTACTTATTTGTTTTCTTTTAACAATGATCAGCTGTAGGGTGGCCGTTTGAAGCCCGCGGCAAGAGTTTAAACAGTTTTTTTTTCCTCTAGCCATCAGCTGGGACTCAGGAGGCAGCAATAGATTGGGGGTGGGACCAAATAAAAGGTAAGAATAATGTGGGGGGTGGGGGGGCGTGGGGGCGGCGGGGCAGAACCGGTTCGGTGACATCATATCGTCACCGCTACCGGTTCGGGAGAACCGAGCCGAACTGGGAGGAACCCACCACTGATCCCAGGACACTGCAACTGTCATAAATATGAGTCAGTTGCCAAGGGTCTGAATTATGTTCATACGAACATGGGGACGCGGCAATGGTTGAACGAAAAATGGGTCCTAAGTCACATTTTTCAGTGATGTTGTAAGGACTGTACAAATCACTACAAAAGTGCCGCATTACTCTGAGCATTACCAGAATACAACACCTCCTTCAGATTCTGTTGAAAATCCAGAAGCAACTTCCATTAAAATTACTTTTCTATATATAATCCACAGCAAATTAAACACATCAAGTAACAACCTACACAAAGCATATGACAATTATTTCAAGACAATTTTTTTTTCCTTCAAAAATGCATTGGCAAGTCTTAAAATAAAATAATGCTGAATCTGCATTGGCAGTTGCTGGAAAACACAGATCTCAAACTTATAATTAAGCTTTTCTGCACAAGAACCCCCTATTTCTTCCTACTTTGAAATATGGGGTTACCTTCAAAAAAAAAAAAAAAGAAAGAAAAAGTCCTTTGGTGCTGTACATTAAAAATGTAGCTTCCACACTAATGAGGACAGACTTGGCCAAGTACATAGACCTATGTTATATGCAAAAAATAAGAGAAAGGGAAAGAGAGAAATTGCAAATTTAAACATAATGACTGAAAACGTATAGTTATTTCCTTTAGTAGCAGACAAATGCAAAGAACATTTTCAGAACAGCAGCTCTTTTGTTCTTGCCTACTGTATTATGTTATATTTATACAACTGCGGATCAAGTAGTTGATTAAATGCACACGCAGCACAGTACTCTTCCTGTATCAAGATAATACATAAAGTAATAAGAAGCTCTGGAAAACATCTATAGTTATAGTAAAGAGAAAATAATGTATAGGATCTAACAGAAAGGTCCTTACGTCACTATACTTATTACACTTTTTTAACATTACTGTCAAAATGTACATGTACCTAATTACATCCTTATGGTACTATGCTTTTTTATTCATTTTCCCCCTTTTAAATAAGAAATGAAGAATTTAAATTCCAAGAACTCCCAAATATTTAGGTGTTTTAAAACAGCATTCATGTGTATACTGCTTTTCTTTAGATTTGATCTAAAGATTTGATCTTTTTTTGGTTTCTCCATTTAAAGCAATGTAATAAATTGCTTTAAACCCTAATTGTTCTACCACTCAGACAGAGGTAGTTTTCAGCAGGTTCTGACCAGTTCTGGAGAACCGGTAGCAGAAATTTTGAGTAGTTTGGACAACTGGTAGTAAAAATTCTGACTGGCCCTGCCCCCATCTATTCTCTGCCTCCCGAGTCCCTGATGATCAGGAGGAAATGGGGATTCTGCAGTAACCTTCCCCTGGAGTGGGGAGAGAATGGAGATTTTACAGTATCCTTCCCCTGCCATGCCCACCAAGCCACGTCCACCAAGTCATGCCATACCCATCAAACCACACCCACAGAACCGGTAGTAAAAAAATTTGAAACCCACCACTGCATTCAGATATTAACTGTCTCTCTGCTTTCAAATGTTTGCAGCTGCTAATATAACAGGTTAGATTATCCTAAACTGCACTTATATGTGTGCCGCTATGATTAAATTATGAAAGAAGTAATCAAGGGTTTAATTAAAATTTAGCTGGCAACTTGTACATTTAGTTCAAACCTAATCTTTTCTGTATCTTTGATTCATCAGATCTTTCACTGTGTCATTCTCCTCTTGATCTGGAACATGCTTCCCTTTAGCAGTCCAATACTGCCTAATTTCATCTTTGTCAGCCATTTTTCTCCTTCTCCTCTCAACCAGCTCCAGCCAGGTTTACACTCTACAAGCTCCTTAGCCCATTTCAACTCTTCCCATCCATCAGAGACTGTATGTATTTGAGAAAACACCTAATTCCATGTCCCAAAGTTCGTTTCCCAGTGTCAGATACAAACATGTAGAGTTTGTATGTCTGTGAGATGGTGTGACAAGAAAGCAGGTAGTGTTTACCTTTTCTATTCTGTCATACATCTGCAGAATAAATTCTTTATTTATAATTTAGATTTATAGGGTGCCCAACTCAGGAACAATTATTTTATTTTATAGCTTCCTGCCATCTGTAGCCACCACTGCAAAGTAACTTTACTTTTCAAAGTAGCTTTGAAAAATGCAGAAAGGATTTTAACGATGCTCTTCTTCCTGGCAAAAACAGAGACTGTATTTACATACATACGGAGTGGGTTCATACATTCTGCTAAGACATAATGTGGTTTCTTTGCTTATGGCTCAGTATGAATCCCGTCACTGTAGTTTGTCATCATTTTTTTACAACATAGCACATTCTGCATCTGATTACAGCTTATTCTATAAACCATAATCATCGTCAGGCATTCAGTCAGCCACTCTATTGATCGGCACTCTCCATGCCCCTCTGTCTCACACCGCTGTCTTCAGATCCACCACAGTCATCCTAGTATCATTCTTTATAGTGTCCAGCCAATTATAAATGATGATACCGGGGCTTAATAAACCACTGGTAGACAAATTAAACCACACAGAAAATGGGAAAAATATCTATACCTTGCCATTCCAAGACTGGAAAAGTTCAATGGAACTATCAAAACATCAAGCCGGGAAAAGGGATGTGTACCCAGCAGATCATATGCCGCAGAGAGGCACTGAGGAAGCAGGTGGAGTAAAACCTTTTTGCAGGAGTCCTTAAGGCACAGAGGAGCAAAGATGCGATGAGGAATAATAACCTGAGCAGAGGTGATAGGATCTTGGAAGCGACAAGGATATGGTGTATGACCGCAAGCCTTTTCTAATAACCTGGCGGAGACAAAAAAGAAGTCATTGAATGTTGATTTTTTTAAAAAAAGAAGAAGTTATGAACATTTGAAGAAAATTCAGTAAAAAGTAGCAAAGACGCTTGCGTTATTTGTTCATACAATGTTAACAGGGAAACATCTGGATCAGAGAACAATTTCTTTCCTTTGATAATCTTTTTCTTTATCTGCTATACATATAATCTCAGAATCTCATCAACGCATGAAAAATGCAGTTGAGTAAGTGGCTCAAAATTATTGCTAGTAGCTCTGCAAGGATTTCAAATATTGTTATCTTTTGTCTCGCCATCACTTGCCTGTCACTTCTGCAAATTTAGGCAGTGAAATAATTTTAATGACCTAAGCAATAAGCATGATTATCTCAAGCTAGGATGCTGTTGAAAGAAATTTTTATCTTTAAAGTTTTTCTAGAAGAATGTGAAAGTTAGTTCTTCCACAGACAGTGAAAACCATCATGATAACAAATCTGATAATTATAAAAACAAAGGACAGATTGAGGCAAGCCAGTGCACAGAAAAGAAAGGTATAAAACACAAGAAGGGTTGAACATTGTTTCTATATACATGGCTTGTTGAATCATAGCAGTTACTGAAATTTTTCGCGTATGGCCACTAACATTTTTGAAATAAATATTACTTTGGTGAAGTTCTTGTAAGCTTGCCTAAGTAATTTTTCCTGCTACTGGATAAAACCTAACAATGAGATTCTATCATGCAGTCATCCTGTCCTGTTCATAGAATTTTACAGGAAGTAAATGCTTTCTTCCATTTATAACCCTATCATGTTTTGTCATTTAAAAAAAACAACAAGGGAAATATATTTGGAGGTGAAAATGGAATAGTACCACAATGCTTTTGATTTGGCATAGTTAATTAACTATTCAATCCCTTAACACATTTCCTGATTTTAAAAATGGCCATAAAAACTGCAGTTATGCTTTCTTTTACAGGTATACTTTTGTTTATCATCTGCAGAATATAGGTCAATAAATTATTGATATGCAGATACCCTGAATTATGTTTCCAATCCAGAAAGATGTACAGTCACAGCATGTTAACAACAATTTTTTTTCCAAATTCTTATGGAAAATTGAATAAACTTTTGATATGAAACTAATAATCCAGAAGCAGTGGTTATATCAGATCTGCAACATGCTTTTAGGTGGTATTATCATTCTACAGATATAGGAACAAAGGTTAGAAATCTAATTTTTCAAACCAAGAGTGAAAAGATGGAAACATGAATGGGATTTAATGAGACAGACTGCTAAAAACGTGAAAGACGGATGACAAAAATATGATACAGGAATAGCAATCAGCTTCACAAGACATACCAGCATCAAGCAAGGCTGTAAAATAGAGGACAGTTTTTACTGTGCAAAATAATAAGCAATTTGGAATTTAAAAGAAGAAATAAAAAGGGATGCATTATTTTATTAGGCCTCAATTAAAATTCACCTATTAAGCAATCCATTTGTCTTTGGTTTTAAAGCCTTTGTAGTGACCACTGCAATCATGTACTTGTTAACCTCAGTGTTAGAAACTAACATGGTTTGAATTATTTAAAAGTAACTACATTGTAACTGGAAAAAAACTATAAGCTCTATAGAGTTTAGGTGTTCAACTTGCACACTATGGAGCTGAAGTAAATCACATAAAAAGCCATGCTCTTTTTCAAAGAACTCTTTCTTTCTGTAAAAGCAACACACCCTTGCCAATCCTCTTTCAGTGGACTGTTTCTCCTCTACATTTTCTTTGATTAAACATGTTCCACTATTGTTCCTTGACTACGATGACTCATTTCTTTTATAATAGAAAAAAATTGAATGTTCTGTAAAGTACATATTTTTTAGCTGTAATCACCAACCTGACATCCCCTTTTGAAGACAACTCATCATTCTTCAAAACATCAGTTTCATAACTTTTTCTTTTAACTTCTGCCCAACATCCAACAGCAATAGCAAAGGTGGATGCTGGCATTGGCATTGTCACATAATAAAACCAACTTAATACACCTAAGGAGAAAAACATGTAGATTATGTTATCCATCACGCTTGCTCACCATTTGTTAAATCTAAAAATGTCTTCCATGGTTCAAGTAAAGCCTGAAATATAGATGTGTTTTGGTTTTAATGTTTTATTTTAATGTTTTTATTGAATAGTGTCTCTATACCCGTAATGGCAAACCTATTGCACATGTGCCAGAGATGGCACGCAGCGCCCTATCTGTGGGCATGCAAGCCGTCACCCCAGTTCAGCTCTGCCACACATGTGCGTGCCTCCTGCCGGCCAGCTAGTCTTCGGGTCTCTGTCGTGCATGTGCAGGGCGTGAGGCCCTACGTGAGGACAGGCCGCATGTGAGGGGCCACATGTACATACATGGGGGGCAAAGCACATGCCGAGGCCCACGTGCACATGTGTGGGGGTGGGCACATGCGTGGGGGCCCTACATGCATTGAATTTTGGGGGTTCAGGCACGCGTGTGCGCGCGCTTTGAGCACTCGGTCCAGAAAAGGTTAGTCATCACTGCTCTATACAATTAAGTTTTACAAAGATAAAATATTACCTAGAATTGAACTAGGAGTGCAGGACCTTTCTGAAATTTCCGCTTGCTTTGCAGATGCTGAAGATCTGCTTTAGAGTACCCTGGTCTCTTCTAGATCAGAATTTGGATGCATAAAGGGTGGTATATGGTAGATGATCAGGAAAAAGTCTTATGCGAGTGGATTTCTATGTTGTGATATGAAATTTCACAGAATTTTTAAATGGTGAGATTTCTTGCCTAATTTATCTGATATGTAAGATGGTAGTGACACTACTGAGTGCAATGCAATGTTGCATGAATGGATGAAATCAAATTTTTCTTGCTCCATACAGCTTTCGGAATCCCTAATTCCTAAGTCAGAGGGGGTGAGGAATGTCAAATGTAGAGGGAGAGGATAAATGTCATATTTAGCAAATTTTGGGTGGAAAATTAGTGCCCTCTGAATAGAAAAGCAGGATATAACTGGGATATGTATGTGTATACCTCCACCTAACTTAAGGAGATTTGCCACTTCCTTTGCAAATAGGTAATGCAATGTTTAATGATGGAAGGAGTACATGAAGCTTCAGTATGGAACAGAAAAGAAACAGCCTTGCCAACTATTTGTGCAGAGATGTTTAAGCAAAAGTATCAATGTGGGATTAATCTCTGTATACACATATTTATACCCACTACAAGGGCCTTGCTTCTGCAGGACTGATCCAATATATTCCATCTGATACTGAAATTAAGTATCAGTATAAATTAAGTAAATAAATAAAAATACTGCAATAAACACATGTTCTGTAACACTTCCTTTATTTTGTTTAACATGCATCAATTATATCTAATGTAATTATTCAAGAGCCTTCTTCTATTCCATTGTATGTTTGTTTTCTACAAAAGTTGCAAATTAGGTTCCATTTCCCCCAATAAATGTATTTAGCAGTGATATAAAGGAAATTCACCATATATTTAAAACTCCATATATTTGAAGGGTTAATAAAATGCACTACCCAGATTAATGGACATTTGCAGTGGACCCACTGTGTCAATATAATTCATAATCACCTATTTTATAGTGTTATTAGAAGGAACTCTGTCTATGTGCTGTGTATGAACAGTCTAAAACTAGTACTGTAATCTGAGAGTGGCAAATCTAAATGCCAATGTGTCTGTGAATATATATAAAAGAATATGGGAGGGGAGGGAGGGAGGGATGGAGGATGGATGGAAGGAAGGAAGGAAGGAAGGAAGGAAGGAAGGAAGGAAGGAAGGAAATATATTTTACTGGGAAAGGAAAGTTCTTCTCTTTTACTAAAAACAGGGCAATTTAATTATTGGCAATTGGTTGGCTTCTCCCCTCCAAAAAAATCTAAATTAATGGGTAGCTACTCTATTCAGGACATTTCAGATCCATTCCTGTGGTCTCTTATTCTGGGAATAAAAACACAGAGAGGAAAAAAAAAGCAAAGGGAGCCCCACATCAGCCATTTTGTGGTCAAATGCAAGGTAGGTGATTAAAAAGGAAAATCTGTCAAGTGTATCTTTGGGACTGAAATGTTTCAGACCTTTACAAAGCTAAAGGACTATCTAAATGATAATGTTTACTTTAGATACCTTCCTACTTAACCGTTGTTTATTTTTTAGGTACTATAGTGTAACTATGGGACGTGGTGGCTCAGTGGCTAAGACTCTGAGCTTGTCGAACAAAAGGTTAGCAGTTCAGCAGTTCAAATCCCTAGTGCCGCGTAATAAGGTGAGCTCCCATTACTTGTCCCAGCTTCTGCCAACCTAGCAATTCGAAAACACGTAAAAAATGCAAGTAGAAAAATAGGGACCACCTTTGGTGGGAAGGTAACAGCTTTCCATGCGTCTTTGGCATTTACTCATGCCAGCCACATGACCACAGAAACGTCTTTGGATAGCGCTGGCTCTTCAGCTTTGAAACAGAGATGAGCACCGGCCCCTAAAGTCGGGAACGACTAGCATTTATGTGCAAGAGAAACCTTTACCTTTATACTGTAACTCTGATGCTCATCGGTATTAGAAAGTTTCAGTTTACTTTCCCATGTAGCATTTTTAATCATGTATAACTTTTCCCCAAAATTATATAAAACAGAAGTATTTGATAATTTTTCTCTTCATTCCTCTTTATCTCTAACTACACTGTTTCCAAAAAAGTGCATGAAACAAACTAAACTAACATTATTTTATCTTTATGTTTTCTCCTTTTTTTCCTCTTTACCTTTCTGCCCAGTGTTAATCCACTATCTTACTACATATATCTATTGGGACACTGTGAGGCTCCCTTGGATACAGCACCACCTAGGGTACATATATATATGTATGTATGTATGTATGTATGTATGTATGTATGTATGTGTATGTATATGTATATGAAAGAAAAAAGAAAGAAAGAAAGAAAGAAAGAAAGAAAGAATTTCATGTGGTACAACAGAAACACAGAAACCCATAAAACATCGATGTACAACATATTTGTTAAAAATTAGAAGTGAATTGCTTCCCATGAATATGCTGTATTAATAATTTTTGTAGCAATCAGTTTTCAACATCACTTCTATATGAAAATTTACATATAAATAACAGAGAAAATTCCGATCTATTTACAAACTATACAAATTATGTCAGATAATTTGCAATACTGTATCTATAAATTTAAAATGTTATCCTAATTAATAATACAATAATTTGTATTTCATGTTCTAATTGAAAATCCACTGTTTTTAATTGTATTATTGGGTGCTCCATTTATTTTTTTTCCCTTTTAGCCTCTTACTAGAATAATCTCGATTATATTTCAATTTACTTCTCATTCTCTGCCTTGTGAATGGATACACCGAGGATGGCATAAACTGACTTTTAAAAGACATTCAATATATTTTTATAATATGTTGTCATATGTAATATAAGAGAAATCCAGCTTTGTATTATTTCTACTGCATTGCAATTAATTTAGGCAAACTTAAAATCTAATTATCTAAAAAGCCTAAAGAATGAAAAAGAAACAATAGTTATTTTAACTCCTATTTAGTAAATCTGTTAAGAAGCTTTTTCTCAAACTTCTTGAATCTAGCAAAAGAATTTGAAATGAAATATTTTTACATTTTGAAGGAGTAAATAACCTCTTGATGATTTGCCTAGAACTATTCAGCAGGTTTCCAACAGACATTTCAACAGATTTTTTTTTTAATGTCAATTAATTTGAAACTGGAGAAAAACAACAGATGCTCTAAAACTGCAAATGCAGCACACTCTTCCCCAAATCTGAAGGTGGAAGAGATTTTTGAAATTGTGACAATAACTTGTTTCTGGAAAAAATATTACTGGACTGAAAGTTTGTGGCTGCACAAAAAGCTGGATAGAGTTGAAGGTAAGCTGATAACATCAGTGAAAAACACTTAAGTGAAAACTCCTCCAAAATTAACATTTGTTTCTGGAACTTCCAATTCACCTCTGAAATTCCCAGCCAGCTGGACTACCATGGAAGGATATCCACAGATATTGAGTGGTGAAGTAGTCCCCTCACTCAAGTGTTCAAGTACTTATTCTGGGAAATCCAGTCTCACTTGCTGGCCACAAGGTTGTGCAACATTTAAAAGGCTGTCATATGCAAGCAGGAGCTTTCACTATTGAAAGTAAGGGCACGACAAAGGATGAAAACTAAAGGAAATTCATACTGAATTTCTTTTTTTTTTTAAAGGAATTTCTTTTTTTTAAAGGAATTTCTTTGTTTTAATTTAATTTAATTTAATACTGAACGGTAAAACTAAATCTCAAAATTTCATTTTTTCCCCACCTCAAGTACAAAGTCCAGAAGTAGTTTCCAAGTAGAAACAAAATTAGGTTTTTTTCTTTTATCAAAGCAGTCAATTTAGCCATCTAAATTGCTAAACTATGAAAGTTCTTGATGGTAAGAGCAGCTGAGCATTTGAACAGTGTTTATCGATTCCCAAGCTCTACATGAAGTCTGGAAGGCTACCTGTGAGGCATGAATTAATGGATTTCTGCATGGAGCAAGGGATTATACTAAAACAATCTATGGGATTTCTTCCACTTCACATATTTTATGCTTACAAAAATGTAATCCTTCCCAAATCTTAAATAAATAGTACATACCCATCACATTATTCCCTTGCAGGATAAGCAAAATGTTATACAAAATGTGGAAGGAATAAGAAACTGTCATCCAGAAGAAGGAATGACTTTATGAAAAATGACTTCCACAGGTTTCAGATGACATGCTCAGTTGCAGTTAACAGAAACAGAAGCTAAATTTTCTAGAAAAAGCAGGCAGAGTAAACCATGCAAACGTTAGACTCACGAAGATCCATTCTCACAACACTAAACCACTGTATAGAGCAGGAGTCTTTGAAGTAGGTGCAACTTGAGCTTCGCTGACACAGAGAAATAAGGTAGCAGTTATAGATCTTCTCTAAGAAGAAAATATTTGTCACTCCAGCCAGATAAAGAAGGCTAAAGGGTGGTTGGCCTTTAGTCCTGTCCTGAATTGTTGTCACTTCTTGGATAGGGGCCAGTCAGCTTCCTAGGGCTAATGAGGCACTGTAGCACAGCAATAGCAGGAGGAACAGATATCCCCACTTTCAAGCTTCCTTTAAACTCTCATTTGGCAACTTCCCTCCATCTACCTCAACGAAGAGTTGGGGGAGCAGAAGGCAAGAAAGTGAGGCCAACATTGCACAGGACCTGCTTGTTCTCTGCGGTCATTAGCCAGGGTGCAACAGAATGGCTGCTTTGGGAATGGAGGCAGAGGAGAGAAGGAGCAAAGATAGATAGTGGTGTAGCTCAGGAAACTCCAATGATCTTGGCTAGGAGGAGAGTATGTGCCTCACTGAAAAGAAGAGAGGAATATTGTCCCTGCCCTAGTGGGGATGTGCTCCCGGTATGCCCTCCGCCAGCCAGGCTATACTGACTGCGGTCCTGGGCAGAAACTGTGCAGTCTCTTCTAAGCTTTTTCATGCTCACTGGTGAGAAGCTGTATCAGTTTTGGGGGTAGAGTGGTCTCAGCACAGCTTTGGCCAACTGTTCCGCCTACTTAAGTGATCTACCTGCTGTGTATCTCAGATAGAAGGATCTCAGTTTCTGCCCCAGTTTCTGGCCACTTCCCACCCATCAATGGATCCATGATCAATTAGATGAGACTTATGCTCAAATCTTAAGCCAGATTCAATATTTCCCCATTAAGCATCAAATGCCAATTGCTTTTTTCTGTGTCAAATAATACATCGTTTTCAGCATGGTTTTTATTAAATATAATCTGAATTTGAGCTAAATTTTCAAAAAATTGAAGACAAAACATGATTTTTTTTTAACAAGAGAACTGCCAAAATAATTTTTATTACTTGGCAGAAGTGAAAATACTGTTCAGACACAGTTGCCTCTTCTGAGCAGACAAATCCTGCCAAGTTTCAAATTATTAGATTTAAGGATTTATATTTATTCAGCAACAACCAAAACAAATATTGATGTTCTGCTTTAGAAAAAATGCTGCCAGATAGGTGGTCAAGCTGAAATGGTAAAAACCACTCTGATTTGCAGAATTTTGTAATAAATAAATAAATGTATGTTTAACGGCATACCCATGGTATTATTCATAATATTCAACCATTTCTTAATGTTTGATTTGTTAGAGACTTCAGTTTCAGGCTCTAAGAAACTAGTCCTCAGGGGCTCTCATGAGCATTTGAGTTTGGACCATTGGTTCAGAGACATATTTGAATGCTGCCTAATTTGCTGATCTGATTTGCTTAAAATGAAAGCACACATTCTGTATAAAGTTAAGAATCTGTAGCAAAGAGAAACTATTACTTTAAATTATTACTTTAAAAATTACTCTATGAAGTAATAAACAATTTTAATGTTATTTTATTTATTATTAAATTTATTGGCTGTTCATCTCATTACAGGGTAAGATGTAGTTATCTAATAGTAAAAGTCAAACAAAAACACAATACAAAACTGATGGAAATAATGGGGTAGTATACAGGATTTGGGAGACGGAGGGAGGGGTAGATGCTTAAAGTGGATGACAGTTATAATAAAGAAAAGTAACTTTAAATCCTAAACAAAATTATGCTAATGTCTTTTGTGTTATTTGCAATACCCAAAAGTATAGTTTGGATTACTAAACCTGACTACAATTAATATATTAAAACAATGCAATAGTGATATCATTTGTTATCTACTAATTAAGAGCTCTAGGCTTTCACACCCAATAATTAAACTTTTGAAATTGAAAGAAAATTTAGTTCCTTTCCCATTTTCTAAAAAAAATAATTATATGGCACCAAGAAATCTACACTTTGCATACAAATTCATTTACATAACTGAATCATCAGCAAAAATATATCACACTTTACTAAACTACACAAAACCGTAGCATTTAATTTAAATAGTTTGCTATGGGAAACTTCAAAACATTGATATCTCATTGCTTTATTAAAATTTTTGTAAGAAACATCTGAGAAAGCATGGTATAAACTAAACATGTCTTTGAAAGAACTGAGATGATGATTCCAACAAAGACAAAAAAACAATGAAGAGACTGGTTCTTCAGGATCTCTCTAGACAAGGAGAAGACAGATGATTATTCACATGTGGTCTAGAGAAGTGCTCCTTACAGAGAGACTGCAGGGAAGTAGTACCCTGAAGATTTCAGCACCGAGAGATCAGTGGGACAGTCATGCTCATAAGTGCAGCAGAGACTTTTAAAGGACACCGAGTTTGCTAACCTTCCTTATTCTTCTTTATAAAGCTCTGGTAACCCTTTATGGACTTTTTGCCAACACCAGGACTGAAATATTGATGATTTATAGATTTATATATAAATAAGGGACAGGTTATAGGAAGAAGAGAGATTTGTTTGTAACCTTGTAGGGAGTGAAGAATTTTAGGGATAAGAATTGTAGGGAGTGGTCAATGCCTGGAATGCACTACCTGACTCTGTGGTTTCTTCCCGAAACCCCCACAACGTTAACCTTAGACTGTCTACTGTTGACCTCATCCCAATCCTAAGAGGTCTGTAAGGGAAGTGCATAAGCGCACCAACGTGCCTACCGTCCCTGTCCTAATGTCCCCATTTATTCGTATCCATTTCATGTATTCATAATGAAGTTTATACTTATATCTGTAATCTTATATATGCTTGACAAATAAATAAATAAATAAAAATAAATAAATAATTAAATTTGTCTATACTTGGGGTGAAGATTGGAAGTCACTGCTTTGTATACTGTATTTCTTTTCTTTTTCTTTTTCTGTCTTTGCACTTTTTATTCTTTCTATTTCTCTTTCTTTCTATCGGTTTAGTTTGTATTTGCTTTTACTACTGTAATAAAATTATAAAGAAAACAATTTTAAGAAATTTTAAGATTGTATTCTTATGATACTGGCAATGTCCAGCTAAATTCAGTAAGATTTACTTCTGAAAGACATATTTATGAGAATAAATCAGTGGAAATGCAGCAGAACTGATTGAGAGAACCAAGAAGTGCTAATGATACTAAGGGCTATATTAAAGACCAACTATTAAAAAACTCTGTTTGAAATGCCTATATTCTTCAGTAATTATGTCAGTCAGTATGTGTTGGTATTTTGTTGTTTGTATTTTTAACTTTAAATAAAAATAAATTTCTATTGTGAAGCAGATTTCAATATGATAATTCAACCAACAGAAATAAGGTTAAGTAACAAAAATAATCAACAATAAATAGGATTTATTGTACCAAAGTTCAAATTATCAACCTGAAATGGTCCTTAGTATCAAGGCTAATCTAATCCAAACAGTTCTCACCAAGAAGGTGTATTCTAAATAAAGAATGTTATTGTTATTATTATTGTTATTATTATTTAGTAAGCATGCATGCTATGACATTCAACCTGATTTCTCATGTTTCTTGTATCAAAGAAGAAAAATTATTTTAGGCCACTAAAGATATCTCAACCACTTAATCCTAACTCAACATACCAAGCACAATTCTAACCTGATCCACTCTTAATGCAAAAATGTAATTCACCACAACTAACAATCGCATTTTTACAAATATTTTAAAGTAAGATTTCAGGTTATTATAAATTGTTATGGCATCACAGAAACAGATTTCTATCATAACTTTGTTTTAGAATTAATCCACCTACAAAATGCATATTACTAGTTCCTGAAAATCAAGGACTGGTGAGAAAAGAAAAATTGATAAGAAAGTAAGGAAGAAAAAAAATTAAAAGAATGAATATGAAGGTAATGGTTCCAGATAGAGGTGGAGTTTGAATCTCATTGGACTATGTAGAAGAAATACTGCACTGATACTAAAGCATTTTCCAAATGAATATTGAATCAAATATTAACATAGCAAAACATGTTGTACCTTTTTCAGATTTTGCTGGTTCCGCTACATTCTCACCACTCATTAGAACAACAAAGCATGCATCTGCTCGGACTGTAGCTTGCCATGTTGACATGGCAACAGGCGGTTCTTGGCATGGAAAAAGGGCCCTGTTGTTTATTGGAGATCCCACTGTATAAACACATGGTCTGTAGGGAACAGAAAAAGATAAGGAAGTAGTGTGTACTATACAACTTATTACAAGAAAAATAAAGTTGCTAACAGGAACAGAAATTCAAACTATTAATACCGCTCAATACATCTGGTCTGAAAAGAAAGGATCATACTGTAGGATAATCACTTCTTGAACCTTAAGTGAAATTTGTATAAATTCTGACTTGCTCTTTGACGTCTCTGGAGACTGGAGAAGATAGAAATATATTGTATTTGAATTTATATGAGGTTATTCTGCTCCAAATAACGCAATAGACTAATTTTTGGAAAAAATGTTTCTGAATTGATCACAAATTTACCATTACCGGGAATAACCTACCAAGTGGAATATGAATGTGCGGATTTACAAATGTATGCATAACTGGATATAGCATTAATGTAATGCATTAGGAGGGTAGACTTTAGCAATCCTCAGGCCTATTTGTGACCTCTATTCGTCTCTTCTGGCACAGCAATAGGGAAACCAGAAGCTTCCATTTCCATTGAAGGAGAGCATATACTTTAAAATTTAAATAATGATAAATCCTAACTACGGTTGGTTAGACTTTAGTTCAGAAGGGTTAAAACCAGCCACTTGTATGCTGAATAGCACAGAAAGGAAAAGGGAGCTGCGGATAAACCAAGGCTTCCGTCCTTAAATGTAAGGTTAACAACTGTGTACAAATCAATCCTATGTATATGTAGGGGTTGGGGGTTTTTTTAGAGATAAGGGTAAGTTAAATTGCAAATTTATTAAGGTAAAAGGTATGGGGATTAGCGAGACTAACAACAGGATCAGGTAGAGTGTTCTAGACATTTACTATTCTATTGCAGAAGTCATATTTCCTACAATCAAGATTAGAGCGACTTACTTTGAGTTTGAATCTATTGATAGCCCTTGTGTTATTGCGGTTGAAGTTAAAGTACTCATTAACATGTAGGACGTTATGGTAAATAATCTTGTGTACTAAACTTAGGTCGTTACATAGACGGCGTAATTCAAGGCTATCCAGGCCTAAAATTTCAAGCCTGGTGTATAGGGAATTTTATTTCGAGCAGAGGATTTGAGTACTCTTCTAGTAAAATTTTCTATGCTTTTCCCACAGTAGCAAATGGCAGCTGTTTGGAACACATTTGGAAGGCATCCAATTCAGGATGGCTATCCCCAAAAATGACTACAAGAGACCAAGACCAAAAACTGCTTCCCGTACATAAGGCAGCTAAAGCTCCTTGATCTAATTCACTTTTGGTCGTATCCCTCTCCACAGAGACTCTTTAAATCCCCAATCAGTGGTTTCAACCATTAAAACAAAATATTACATCAAATATTTACAAAGTTGCACAGCTTGATGACCTTTCCTTTCTATCTTCTAAAGATTTTTATTGCAATACCACAGCAGGCCCTCTTCTTTTTATTATGATGTTTACCAAAGAAGAGGAAGCACAGGCAGCCCACCTGTTACCTGACACATGCCATTATCCACTCCCACACAGAGAGTTTGACAGTAGAACTAAAAATAATCACCAGAATGCCAGAGAATATTTAAAATCATGGAAGAAATTGTCAGGCTCCTTTTTCCAAGCTCCTCTCACAAATTCTGGGAGAAAACATATGGAGTATACTAGTCTATTTATATAAGAACCCAAAAAGATTGTATGAGTTGGTGGCTTGTTCTACACAAAGCACTGTGTTTTGCTGATGCATTTTAAATGAAGGTATTGTCACTCAAACCTGACAAAATAATGGTAGTGGGGGAGGATGGTGTTGATTGCTTTGCTTTTGCTTTCGTAAATATTTATGAACATTATTCAAGTATTTTCAGTCAGCACAGTTATTCCTATGCAATGTTTGAAAATGTTTAAATAAACCGCATAGTAGCATAACAATAGAACTACAATTAATATCTGGTATATTACCTACAAAGCTAAGAATATGAAGGAGAAAATGCAGGTGCTGTTTAATTACTAAATGCATAGTGTTGATGACAAATAGATATTTCTCCTATGAAACAGGTGTCAGTTTCAATTACTGTTCGTTTGTTTTGGAGGAAAGAAGTCATCTAATACATTAATACACAAGTTGGGTGGCTGTTAACAGCTAATATTCACTACCACTCTACCTATATTTGAGGATCCTGAGTGAAAAATAAGGGTGCAAAAGGCGTGTTCAAAATGCTCAATGTTTCTTATGGCCAGAACACACAGATTCTCCATCATGAAGGCATGAAGAATCAGGACCACATGTTAAGTTCCAGTTAAGATTTATTGCTCATACACAAAATTTATTGCCTGTACATAAGAATCTATCAGGTAACGGTCAGCATTAAGTTGGCACTAGTTAACAGAATTCAAGATGGGTTGAATGGGTTACATTGTGGGAATGTAATGATTCCAGGCTAATTCCTCTCTTGACTCTGCTTCCAGGCACCTATGATCTGGAACAGTCTCCTCCTGTAGACTTGACCCTTCAGTAATGATCTTTTGGACACTGGAGAAAACAGAACTTTTCAGAGAAACTTTGGGCAATGATTGTTTGACACTGACATTGCTCTTGGTTTTGTTTGTTATTATATATTTATTTAGTTATAAGCATTGATATTGATACATTATTGTTAACTTCTGTGTATTAGGGATTTCTATGCTGTAAATCAGGGGTATCAAACTCAAGGTCTGCGGGCTGGATCCGGGTCACGGGGTGCTTAGATCTGGCCTGCAGGGCCGCCCTGGAAACAGCAAAGGACCAGCCTGTAGTGCCTCTGCCAGCAAAAACGGAGCTCAAGAGAGCCACACGTGACACCCCCCCCCCGAACTCTGTTTCACTGGCAAAGAGCTGCAGGAGGCTATCCTGGCCAAAAACAGAGCTCAGGAGCCTGTTTTCACTGGCAAAGCACTCAGGCCACCACAGGCGCCCCCTCCCCTGACACAAATTATCTCAAAATGGCCACACCCACCCTGGCCATACTCCCTGCCCTCCGAGGTCAAACACAACCTAATGCAGTCCTCAATGAAATCAAGTTTGACACCTCTGCTGTGGATGGCTCATTACAGTGCATAATTTGTTGAAGCTATCATGAGTCTTGTGGGAAACAACAACACATAGATGTAATAAATAGTGGTAATAATAATAATAATTGCTTTGACTTTTGTTTCAGCAAAACCTAGAGCCCTTTGTTTCGTTGGAACATAGCTAACTTAAAAAGTTCCAATGCAATGATTCAGGTAGGCTGTTCTGTTCTAAGCAAAAAAACTAATGCATTTTTCGTTTCATGGATACCTTTTATTTATTTGCCACTTTAAGTGCCCAAAGCAATCTAAAGCAATGGGAATCTAATAATATTACATTACTAGTATTTTGAAACAAGAAATTCAGTGCAAAATATAATAATACAGCATACGAGAACATTAGTATAGATGTTTATGCTTTCATTACTTTCATTTAACAGCATATCAACTTACTAGAATAGAACACAAAAGTACTGAACAGTCCTCTATTATTTTATATCCCTACAATAGGAATTTAGAGTTTCACTTTCTCACATTTTCCAACAATTATAGCAACTACCTATAGCCCACAGCTTATATATGGGAAGACAGCAGGCAAATTAGAAATGATCTGTTTCTGTTGCTCCCCTCTGGGAGGAGGTTTCAAAGTATTTTTAGCAGGACTACCAGATTCTGTTAACAGTTTTGTTCCTTATGCCATCAGTCTGGTAAATTTGCAAGATTTGTTTTTGTTGCCATGTACATGTATACATCTGAATTAGACTGTGTTGTTTCTCTGTGTCATATAATAATATGTGTGGGTATGTGCATATTTTTTTTATTTATCATGTTTATGTGGTGTATATTGGAGGTGGTGACCCTTTGAGAGCTGTATGCAACGAAATTTCATTTTAATGTATGCCGATTAGTGTACATTTAAAGTGACAATAAAGTTATTCTAAAGTCTAAGTTCTAAATCCAAATGCAATGCTGACGCTGAAGGCATCAGCTCCACATCCATACCAAACTTCCTCAAAGTAAGAGTGCCACTGGACCAAAATTGTGCTTTCGTCTTCCATAGTAGCTTGGGCTGCTTAGCATTTGTGACAAGGGCTGAGTTTTTAAATCTCCACTGACATGGAAGAAGCCAAAAAGAAGGCAATGGGGAGATTGTATCAGCACACACATCAAGTATATAAAAGTTTACCTTCCGCAATAAAATTACATTTAGGATCAGACATTGATGAACAAATTAAAAGGACAACATGCAGGACATCACTCTTTACATGCTTAATGCAATTAACTAGTACAAGCATAGGGATTTTCTTCTAGCCATTTTGAAAATACACTGGTCAATCTGAGCATAATGGCAATCTAGAACAAATTAGCATGTCAAAGCAGAGGATTATAAGCATTTGGAAGCCCAAGACTTGACCCTAACTTGAGCTAAATATGGTGGAGGGGGGCTAAATGTTAATTTGAAGAATGAAAAAAAAATTGTCTTTTGCCCCAGAAACTTAAGTAACAATTAAAATATGCCAGTTATAATTCAACACAATTATTATATATACTTAAGGCCAAATGAGAAACTGTAATAGCTTATTTATAATCCTATTTTGATTTGTTTTCAAAAGGATAAACATCATTGAAGAAAAAATTATATCAGAACTGGGGAACAGGCATCCCAGCTAGCCACAATGAGAGAAAAATGCTGGCGTGCACACAATGTCTTTATGATGTAAAGCCCACCAATATGTGACACAAGGCATAGGGTTTGCGTCACGATGTTACAATGCATGCTTCATCCCTTTCTTCCTCCTAACACGCCTACAGGTGGTTAAATGTTCCTCTCTTGATACTATTTTCTCACTCTGAATTTACTTATCTCATCTTGGAGTTGACTTGCCCAGGAAGCAAATAGAAGGGGATCCCATATAGACTTACAGTATGCATTCTTATAGGACCGTGATGACGAGCCTATGGCACACATGCCAGAGGTGACACACAGAACCCTCTCTATGGGCACATGTGCCATCGCCAGCTGCTTTTCTGGTTTTTGGTGTGCCAGCTGGTCTTTGCACGCGCTAGAGGGCCAGAAACCCAAAGACCAGCTGGCCGGTCACTGCACATCCCGTGCCCTGGCACGCGTGTGCGAAGACCCTGGCGCACATGTGCGTGCCAGAAACCCAAAGACCAGGTGGCCAGCACATGCATGCACATCATCCAGCTGGTCTTCAGGTTTCCGGTGCTCTGGTGCACATGTGCGCACCGACACTCAGTGCCAAAAAGGTTCGCCATCCCTGTTACAGGACAAACATGGAGAATAAATGTGTGCAGAGGGGTGGAATCATCTAGGCATTATTCCTGAGCATGTCTTTGACCCTTTATGAGCATGAGGTCAGGTATCCCTTACAATCTTGTATAGTTGCATTTATTAAAATGGAAGTTATTAACATATCTAAAAATACAGGTATTAAGCAATTAAAAGACTGTAATATGAATTTATTCCTGACGAAATATTTTATAATCTGTATTACATGGCAGGAATAGAAATCAAGTCAAGAGCTGGTAAATGAATGGCCTATATGAATAAAAGAAGCAAGTTGACAGTAATGAAGTCTTGTAGGCAAGATGTGTGGTACTTATATAGTACATAAGATATATTGGCCTTCGTTGACTCGGAACCTAGAGGTGATGGAACTCCAACCCAACTAAAGGTTACTATTGAGACGGGCTAATATGCTACAAAATTATATTAGGCATTGAAAAACAAGGTCTCGTTAAAAAAATTAAAACATATAAAATTGCTACCTCATTAAACAATACTATTATGTCCTGATCCTTCAAACATTCCATACATTTATGGAATGTAAATATAAATGCATTTACATGCATTTACAACCTTTTTAATGCAAGTTCTAACATTCCTGATATTTGACTGTTTAAAAAACAAAGTGAAATTGCTTTAGAAAATATTTGCGTCTTTAATCTAAACTATACCAACAATTATTATCTTGAATATTCATTTTGGCTTATGAAATGTATTGGTTGGATTCAGACTCACAGCGATAAAATCCTCAAAGCTATCACAAGCTCTGAAGTTTATCGGCTGTGCTACTCATGCATTTAAATTCATTATGAATGAGATCATCATTCATAATTCAACTGTGTCCCATCTGGAACGTAACACCAAAAGGTACCAGATGCACTCAGGACTGCTGCTTACCTGTCACTTTGATCTGTAGTCCAGCTAAGTGATTGTCCTTCTGGCTTTGTTTTGTACCATATTCTTACGGCACGAGGGAAGTCCTTTGGCAGTTTGATCCCTGCTTTCCTGATTTCCAAGCTCCAAGTGTCTGTCATAAACAGAAGCTCACCACAAGCAGGAGCCTGGCTGCAATGCTTGTAACGCTGAAGCTGCTCTCTCCAATTATTTGTTGGTAATGTCACAAGTTCGTGCACAATTTGATTCCGAAGATTTCTAGGATCCTTAGCAGAATCCATTAACTTGGCAGAGCTTGTACATGTCTCGATGCCTGAAACAACAGCAACATCCACCTCCTCGACCTTTAACACACATAAATCACAGCAGTCCAGGACCAGCAAGAAATCTTCACTCCCATGAATCTCAATGTCACAGCAGTTCTTTGAACTAGAAATCCCAGAAGCCTGTTCCCTGTTGCCATGGCTACCGTTTTTATCAGAAGTATCATTTTCACCTTTACCACAGACAGCAAAATCATTACATCCACTTTTAGTTGTGCAAGCACTTGCATCTGGCACGACGACTGAGCAGACTTCAGGTGTCGGAACGCGGCAAGCTTCATCAGACCAAGGAGGACTGGCTCCTTCCATCTGCTTATTCTCTCTTTTTCCATCTCTTCTGACAGGCTCAAGGAAAATAACTATGGTGCCTTCTACAACGTGGTTTCTAAAATCCACATCCAAGTCTAAAACATAATGTTTTACCAACATGTGATTAGTGTTGGCCTTCAATGGCAGATCATCTGTGGTGATATCTAGCTCCATTTGTCTATGTCTTCCATGCAAAGAAATCTGGCTAAATCTTGCTGTTTTCTCTGCAGACTCTGCAGCAGAAAAAAATAGTCAGTATGCCATGCTTTCCACTTTTATAAAAATCTGTGATGTACAATAATACATCTGGCCCACATGTGTATCCCACTGACAAAAAAAAGTGAAGTGTTGATTTAAAGTAGGGCTACGAAAGAGAGCAATGTACACTGGAATGTATTTTTAATGATACATAAATCTTTTTAATATGAAAAAACCAATATCAATATTAAATTTGTTTGTTATTCATAACAGCAAGGTAACTGCAGAGAAATTAACTTTGCAAACAAAACTAATGTCATTTAGTTAGACCACCAGAAAACAAAATCAATGAATCAGTACTTCATTTCTGTATAATGTTACCAATTAAAAGTATCTTCTGCAATATAGAAGAACCAGCAATTCAGTTGATATGATCGCTTGTCTAATTTTATAATTTTCAAGAGGTTATCTTATATGTCATTTTAAAAAGTGTGATTTTTGATGCGTGTCTGTGTGTGTATGTGTGGTATATACTTTTCAGTCAGATTTGACTCCTGCAACTACACCGACAAGTCTATGCAGTTTCTTGACAACATTTTCAGCAGTGGTTTGACATTGCCTTTTTACTTTTGTTCTTTGAATGTAAGTAATAAGCATGACTGAAAGCTAAATGACATTTATTATTTCCTATACCAGAACAATCACTGACTATGCATTACATATCTTGAGTTTTTCATTATGGTTATGTTACCATATTGTTTCCCCATTGTTAAATAACAAGAAAAAGAGACTTGGAAAACTAGGAAATTATAAACATTATTTTGAGATTATACTTGAAGACTTCTGAAATTTATAGCTAACTGTCCCAATATATAATTCTTTCTAATATAGGTAATCCTCAATTTATAACAGTTCATTTAATTCAGTGTCATTTACGACACTGAAAAAAGTGACTTATGACCATTTTTCACACTTATGACCTTTGTAGCATCCCCATGATCATGTGATCAAACTTCAGATGCTTGGCAATTGGTTCATACTTATGACTGTTGCTGTGTCCCAAGGTCATGTGATCACCTTTTGTGACCTTTTGATAAGCAAAATCAATAGGGGAGCCAGATTCACTTAACAACCATGTTACTAACTAATTGAATGCAGTGGTTTACTTAACAACTGTGGCAACAAAGGTCATAAAATGGGGCAAAACGCATTTAACAAATGTCTCACTTCAGAACAGAAATTTTGGACTCAATTGTGGTCATAAATGGAGGACTACCTGTAGTGACAATTCCATTTTCATCCAGATTAGAAATACTGTATTTCACAAGAAAAAAGAATGGACTTTTCATCCAATGTTAATATTTACCTACCTGTTGTGACTCCAACCCCCGAGCCTGTCTTATCAGAGGGAGAAGACTCCGAAAGTGAAAGAGAGGAGTTGGCAAGGCCTCCCTCTCCAGGACCCTCCTCTCTGGCAATGCCTCAGGTGTCCTCCGAAGGCCAAGAGATAGGCCAGGGGCCAGGCACTTCAGAGCAGCTGCAGTTGGACAGCGATGGAGATGAGTCTTGGCTGGACCCCCGACAGTGTCGCAGAGATAAGCGCATGCAGCAGAGGAAGAGACGTGCCAGAGATTAAGCTGAGTCACTGGACCACACCCCACAGGGGATAAAATGGGGTGTGGTGGCCAGTCAAGCCTTGTGACGAACAAAACTGAAAGCTAGCAAGTCATTCTGCATTTCTGGAACTTTGTTATATGCTCTGCTTGGATTAATTTTTGGACTGGATTTGACTATTCTTTGGCTTTTGTGGACTTATGTTGATGTTTTGAACGGAGGGAAAAAACCTCCCTTTGTAAGTAAAATCTTTTGGCGAGCAGGCACTGGGTTGCTGCCAATTCTGTTATCAAAGGAAATTCTTGTCTGCTGGTTTATTTTAACTCTTGGTCGACTGCTGGTGTGCATGTGTGAGACGGGGACAGAACACTACTTAAGGGGAGAAGAATTGTTGATTAAATTGATTCCACAATTAATTACTGAGCATCTGTCATCCATTAGTTGTTAATCAGTGCAGGTAGTCCTTGACTTATGACCACAATTGGGACCAGAATTTCCGCGGCTAAGCAAAGTAGTTGTTAAGTGACTCACAATGATTTAATGGATTTGTTTTTGACATGGTTAAGCAAATCACTGCAGTTGTTAAGTGAATCATGCGGTTGCTAAGTGAATCCAGCTTTCCCCATTAACTTTGTTTGTCAGAAGTTGGTTTGGAAGGCTGCAAATGGCAATCATGTGACACACACACCCTGGATGCTGCAACCCTCAGAAATACATCCGGTTGCCAAGAATCCAAATTTTTATCATGTAACAGTGAGGATGCTGAGACAGTACATATGAGAGCCGTTTTTTTTTTTTTTTAATTTATTTATATGCCGCCCTTCTCCGGAGACTCAGGGCGGCTTACAAGGCATTAAGCAATAGCCTTCATACTTTTGTATATTTTATACAAAGTCATCTTATTGCCCCCACAAACCGGGTCCTCATTTTACCTACCTTAGAAAGGATGGAAGGCTGAGTCAACCTTGAGCCTGGTGAGAACTGAACTCGCAGTAATTGCAGGCAGCTGGAAGTTAAATACTACCTTTTAACAGTAGCGTTAGTCTGCTGCGCCACTCAGGCTCAGGTTGTACTTTTTTCGGTGCCATTGTAATTTTGAACAGTTGCTAATGAATGGTGGTAAGCTGAAAACCACTTTTAATGGGTTTTTTTTTTTGTCTTATTCAAAAGAGAAGAAGGGGAGGGATGGCAGAGTCTAGCAAAATAAATACTGTGTAATAGTTTATATTCTTTAAATATCCTGGAACTGAATTCCCTATAATCCTTAATTAGTTCTGGTTATGCTTTCTGGAGTTATAAATATTTAAGTCCAACACATCTGAAGAACACTAGGTTAAGAAACACTGTCCTGGTTTGACTTAGGTTTTCAATATTTCTATGTTTTGCTTTTCAAAATATAGATCTGGAATTCGGTTTTTATTTTCCTTTTTTCAAATCCAAACAATATATATAAGTTTCTGTTACTGAGTTGATATCAGAACTTGTTTAGTACTTAATCAGGCAAAAATGTACTTTTAGAAACCAGCATACTATATACTGTAGGTCTATATCTCAATCATCCAGGTCATGGTTGTCCCAAAGGTGCTTTTTCCAAAAGGCAACTGGACATTTTGGGGTTTTTTTCTCCTTTGAAAACATTTTGCTTCTTATCCAAAAAGCTTCTTTTTTGCCATTTGAAAAAAGTATCTTTGGGACAGCTTTATGCATTACTAACACGTTATGTTCCAGCTTACGTGTGGTTAAATTGAACAAAAAGCAGACCATACGATTTTTTTTTTTTTTTGTAATGGTTGGTGACTTTATTTTCAAATCACTACTAAATTGCATGTGTTCCGTTTTATAAATTAAATATGTGGGAGTGAAGTACAGACTAGCTGAGTAACTGAAATTCATTTGTGAAAAGAAAATTCTTGGTTCATTTCTCCTCTTTCATTTCTTTCGGCCATTTTTAAACATATTTTTCAATGTGTATCTAAGAAGCACGTGACACTTCACATTCCTATGCTGCAATTATAACACTATGTATTATGAACATGAGAGACTTCATGTTGCTCACAGAAGCAGCAATTACTTGTAGGAGCCCCTCCCCCTCAACAGTGTCAGAAACAAAAGGGACTCCATTGCAGATCTATCCAGCAGAGAGTACATTAGCTACCAAACACTATGGAAATCCTTCAAAAAGAGGTGCTTCAGAACATTACAAAATAAAATGGCTTTGAACGCAAACCTTTGAGGGCAGCTTCCATAGTAGCAGCACAAACTTGTTTCCACAACAATATACTGTAGTTCATATGCATTCCTATTGAATGAAAAGACTTTTTCTAAAGAATTTGCACATCACACAAAAAATATATTTCTGTCGGTCATTGTTTTGCTCAGGAAGAGTGAGATTCTAACTCTCTAAGTTAGTTGCCTAAAGACCCTTTCCTGCAAAACACCACCACCATTTCTGATATAGAGAGATAAACTTCAGTTTTCTTAGCCACAGTTCTCTGAGTAAAAGATAAAAAGCTGGATACACAGTTAATACAAGCCATATACCGCTATTTATAAATGGCAATGGCTGAATCCACACACTAATCCAAAACCACAGAAATGCATATATGGTAATATTTAGTGATCATATAAAGATATGACATGTAAACTTTCCATCCAGTTTAGACTTTTAACAAGCCTGGAAAATATATAAAGAATGCCAGCAGCCGTTGATCCCCCGTGTTCAAAACAAGGAGTCAAGCATGCAGACCACGGTGACCACACTAGTTTTACTGGCCATGGAAAACAGAGTGAGCTAAAATACACTAAAAGCATCTGTGCTTATTCAAGAACTGAGCATTTTGAAACGCTGTAGCCAATCCTTTAAATTAAAGCCATGTGAGTGTGACCTAAAAATATTTTGAAATATACATACATAAACACATAGAAATATATATTACAAGACTCCTCAGACTTGGAGAACTTCAGTGTCTGTTTCCCAAAGCTATGATCTATGTAGCTGGATAGTTTTAGTGCAATTAGTGTAGTTTTTCTAATAGTATTGTCTACCATGAAAGAATACTCTATGTAGTTAGAATTGCATTATATTATTCATTTGATGACTTCAAAATCTACTGGCATTTAATTTTAAGACAAGGTGGTCTTGTTAAATTGATCTAAAAGCAAGAAATAAATCACAGTAATTCTATACCGTCCTCACTTACTACTTCATTCACAGCTGCCAATGTTAGGGAATATATTCATATATATTGTTATTATAGCAGATATTAACCATATTCAGGAGGCAGAAGGGGGGAGCTGGTGTGAAGGGCTATACTGAGCTGCCATTTCCTAGGAAGGAGGGAGCACATTCTAGAAATGAGAGAGGGAGACAAGAGGCAGCACAGCACAGAGATTGATAGGAGACAGAGAAAAAGAGTTTAAATAGCTAAACCTTGGACTCTCCCAGGGTATATTTATTAGGCTGAGGGTAGTAAGGGTGTAATCTGGCAAGATTCTATCTGTTACGTATAAACAAATAAAGAAGTGAACCCTGGCTGAATATATTCCACATTGTTCTTGGGCTTAGCTTGACACAAGCTAAGGACAAGAGATTGGAAATAGAAATTGAGCACAAAAGACAACTGAGGAAAAGCCAAGGCTTGTCTAGTTATATGGACAAAGACTGTCAAAAAGCCATATTCCATCAAGCTGCAGCACAAAAAGAGAAAGAATTAGGAATCAGGTCCACGCTACTGAAAGCCAAATTCTATTTGATTTTTCTTCCCTTTAGCTGTTTAGTTTAGTACTGTAAAATTAGGTTCAGACAACATGCTCTGCTTAGCTGTACTTTATGGAATAAACTGCTGTAAGATTTCACACATGTTGGAATTACAAACTCTTATTTACAAACCACATCGGCTGAATTCAGAAAATATGCTAAGTCAAAGCCAAAATAATTACATTATCATTCAAACAATGGCTGCATTCCATATATTTACCAGTGTGTGCTTATTTAATTCATTTTTTGAGTTTGTACACTTTGAACTATACAAGAGCTAGATTCACACGTGGGCTAGGTTAAAATGGAGATAGCATGTCTGTAGTTCAGTGCTTATGAGAACATAATTCAATATGAGAATATAAATTAATAGGTAGCACAGTATGTGTGACCAGCTAACTCATTATCTCCTATTCCCTTTGCATAACTACGATAAACCCTAACCTCTCTTGCTGCACTTCCAAAAGATAGCAATGTAGAAGACTGATGCCCAAAGGATACATTTTGGCTTAGAATGCAAAATGATTTTTTATAATTTTGTAAGCTGCAGTTTATGATTTAGCACCTTGAATAAACTTAGGTAGGTATTCCTTTTGCATAAGGAAGCTAAAACAGCTTTGTTTCATTTGGCACTTAGATTAGTCAGGTTTTAAGGGTTCCTATGATGTGTATTGATGACTTTTAATAATATTAACTACTGCTGAAATTTTGTTTTAGTCTTTTGCATTTGATTTTGTTGTACTAAACCCAAAGTCCATTAGGATTCAAGCAAGTTGTAACAAATAAAACAAATGTTCAACAATTGTAGATTATTAAGCAAACCATTACATGTTGCACCGTATGAACCATGTCATTTATTTTGAAATCAGCACTACTTTGTTGTAGAAAAACATGGGTTGGTACCTGGTTAGCTACAGAATATTCTCTCATTGGCATCAACCCAACATGTTTCATCTACGTGGGAGAAACAGCAAGTGATGCCCATTTTATGGAAGTGAGGGAGGATGAGGCATAGTGGTACTGTTTTTTATGGCTAGCTGTTCCTATGGAACAGATACCCAACAGATACCCACCATTTCAAGGCCATTGATCCAGTGCTGTCCGAATACATTTCCATGGTCATGTGGCCAGCATGACACACAGACCGCTGTTACCTTTCCAGCGTACCTATTTATCTACTCACACTTGCATGTTTTCGAACTGCAGTTTGAAAGCATATACAGATAGATAGACAGACAGACAGACAGATAGAGATAGA